TTTAATTTAAGATATGTTAAAGCTCAAAGATGTCATCATGGAATAGGGATTATAACTTCTAATTATATACTATAGGAGACAATAGATTTAGGAAACCTTTTTAGAAGCTTTATAAATAGGTCACAACAGGCCATAGGCTATATTAGGGGGTCAATCTTATGGAGTTCCCAGAGGCTCCTCTGTAGGTTAGTAAAGATTAAATAAAACCACTTTATGCAGTGGGACTCAGTGCTCAGTCTAGAAGATCCCATTAAGCATCTCTGTGATGCTTAGTTTCAGTTCTCAAACTGTGGACTTGTGTCTCTAGAGATTGTAGGCAGCCAACGTTCTTTGGGTAGATATGGTATCTTTTATTAGACCAACTGATAGTTGGAAAAATTGTTCTTTGCAAGCTTTTGGGTACAAACGCCCTTCTTCAGAAATAGGTAGGACGTGGTTGTCTCTAGAGATAACATCCTTGTTAACAGCAGTGTATGGAGATGAGAGATAACAGACCTGATTACCCACCCACCAGCCCTCTTGTCTCAGCAAATTTGTGTACACACAGTCAAGCCCTTCCCTTTCTCTAAAAGTGTAAAGTTTCAGGAAGTTAAATGAATAAAGGATATCAAACAACAAGAATGTACTTTTTGTAGAAAACAGTGATTAAATCAAGGCTTCCTGACCAGTGATTTAAATCAATTTGATTCAAATTAAATGCACCTTGTTGATATAGGAACCTTTTTTGAAGCATGGAAGGGACTGCTGCAGCTTTTATGTGTATGCTGGTATTTCTAAAGTAAAAGAACTATTACACTGTACTAAGACTCCCATGTCTGCAAGACAACATGGCTCTGGAATTTCTTCATGAGGAAGTAGATGTGCTTAGAATTTGAAAAGTTTGCTCTAACACTTCAGCCCCAGAAAACTCATTTGAGGGAGCATGTCCGTGCAAAAATGTGCTATGGGCCCCTAGAAGTGTAACTCTAGCTTGGTGCTGGCAAGTTGACTCTTGAATAATTGGTGGTAGAAATTTGCAGTGCAATTCACAAAGTGGTGCCTGAAATAGTAGTAAGGAGGAGGTTGAAACTAAGGTGGTTCTGCCTTTGCCGCACTTGCTTCCAGTTTTACAAAATGCTGCATATGTAATTATGACCTGCTGTTTTCTGCAGACCATTTCTGAGGGTAAAGGCAAGTATTTTCACATGAATACATACAATTTGCTGAATCCATTTGCACAACCAGAAAGTACACACACCAGCACTAGTACAGGTTCATGGTGTATGAGGGATGCTAGGTGTGCCCACATCTTGACTATGCAGGTGATGGTTGAGTAACTCATTAAAAATACATGAATTTTTTATTACATTTAACCAGAGGAGTTGTGTCTACTATTTTTTGTCTACTTTGTCGTTTCACTTTCAAATAAAGCATGGGGCAAGCTATGATACTTATCTTGTAAAATTGTACCTGGTATTTTCTTTATTTACATTGAGTAAAGGCTTGTATCTTAACTTTTACATCTTTGGTGGTTTTTCACCTGTTATCAGTTTTACTTTTAAGTGATTTGTGATTCTAATATTTTAATACATTGTTTTTGCATAAATGTGGATGTTGGTCTTTGCAAATACTACAGTAACAACTGATGCTATTTGGAGAACTATGTTTGTTAAATAGACAAGTATACAAGCACAGCAAAGGCAGACCATCTGCCTGTCAATAGTTGCAGAGTAAACTGCAGTGTGAATGTACTGCAGTGCAAAACTAGTAAACCTAAAATAATTAAACCAAAGTGCAACATGAAATCAATCAATAGTACTGGCTGCCTCAAAAATCAATAGTACTGGCTGCCTCAATTATAGTGGTATATGTTGCCTGTGGTGCCCCTTTTCTATTTCTTCCTCTTTGAATCAGTCCTGTGTTGTGCAGGGCTGCACAGGGGTTGAAACAAGCGGTTTTTTGCCTTCCACAGCCTCTGGAATTTTCTGCTGCACAAGACACCTACAGATGTTTAAATCCCACATAATTTATAGGATGGTAGAGCATGCTGGAGGGACAGGCCTTTGTAGATGTAGGGCATGTTTGGAACCATTGTGAAGACCCTCTGTGAACAAGAGTCCTGCTCCTTGTAATACCTGTCTCTGTTCATTTCCCTCGTATCCCTGCAGCATTGTTATGGATTCCTGAGTCCTGTGTTGCAGTTTGCAGTTGTATCATGCATTCTCTTCCCTCAAAGCTGGGCTGTCTGGTCATATCTTCCTGGATGGGATGGCACACCCTTCTGATACGAAAGTTTTTCACAGGCAGTGAACGTACCTTTTTAAGCTCCATGGCAAAAGAGAAGCACCATCTTACCTTATCTTCTGTGGCCATACAAAGGCCCCAGTTTAAAGCATACTTTTGGTATGTGTTCAGTTTCACAGTTCTTAAATGAGCACCTCAAACTACAGGTGTGTACTTGGAAAGAACACTGTTTGGACACATCAAAATAAAAACACAAGTTTAGTTTTTTAAAAAACATTTTTAAAAAGATTGGTTGTATGTCTCCCAGGTTTGAAGTGTTTGAATTTTAACTGGGCTTCTATTGCCGAGGTAAATATTTCAAGCCCTCTCCCTCTCTGTTGTGATGACCAGTTTATCAGGACTGTATCAGAATCTCTTGAATGAGAAAAGAGAAGTATCAGTAGTATTTGTGTCATGTGTTTAGATTTCATTGATATGACCGAACGGGATATCAGAGAGTGATGAATTAGGGAGGTGGACTTGCAAGGATTGCCCTAACTAACCTGACTGACGGACTAGAATTTCTGCTGCACAACAAGTTTGCAAACACCATCTTCCAGGAGAGGAGACAAATTAGGAGGAACACTGATGAAATGCTGAGCTAAACGTTGGATGTTTGATAGCAGCAGAATGTCTCTTCTTGTTCCCTGGCCCTCTCAAAGCACCACAGACTTCTTGCAAAGGGCAGAAGGAAGAATCAAAGTCTATAGATTTTAACAGCAATGACTTCACCAGTTTAAGTTTCCCAAGACTTTTACTCACTGTGTCTGTAGGATACAAAGGACTGATAGTACCTTGGCAAAAAAAAA